TATATTTTGCATTTTTAGCTTAGCAACATGCCACCAACCAACTATTGCTATCAATTGTGAGTCATGTCTCCTGTGTGGTTCGTGTGAGGAGCACTATTTATATGACGCACAGAGTTACTGCCTATATAGAGTGCTCCAAATCTGTCACTTTATTTCAGTTAGGATGCTGCCTTAGAAGAAGACAGCTAGGCAGCTCGTTAGATTTCGGAACAGTTTATATGTACCCTATCAATAAAAAATTAAAGTGATAGCACTATTTTGATGTGCATATTTTTTCTCCAGCAAATGTTATGTCATAATGATGCTGTATTCACAAAATTTGCTGACCCTGTAAGAGCTTGTAAGAAATGGCAGCTATACAGGTGATCTCAGGGACTGTTGCTAGGCGGTGATGTCTTTCTCTTAGCAGCACAGCGTGTACTTGAATCAGGTCAATGAGCTCCACTCTTTCAAGTATCTCTAGCCTTTGTCTTCCTGAATAATTAATGATGTTTCATTGACTGTGGTCTGTGCACATTGTAACCAAAAAGATCAAAAATGTCCAAAGATAAAGGACACATGATTGAGAAAGTTTCACCTCACTGGCCTTTGGTTTTGTTTGGTGCGGTTTGGTGGTTTGTACGGACAATGGTGTGGATGTCAATGCTAATGAGAAGAAGCGCAGTCGCAAAAGGAAATAATTATCCTGAGTGCGGTTTTTTTTTTTTTTAGCTAATGTCGTATGTATGGCATAATTATCCAGTTAAAAATGGGGTTATCCTTGTTAGCCCCAAACCCTTTCTCCTGCTCCTTGCTGCCTCATCTCACATTAATGCAGAGACAGTGACATGGTCACAGGCATACTATATAGGGCATTTAATTAGAGTAGAGCAGAGTGGACACACACAGTGAGAAATAATATGGATATCTGGCACACAGCTGAGAATTGCACTGAGAAAGAGCATAAAGCAATAATTCAACTAAATACTTCCTGTGTCAAGCAACCTTAGTTCAATTGATCAGAAAGAGTTAGGCAAACTACGTTTCTTTAATATGTGGCACACTACTCTCTCAGGAGAAAGTGAGAGATTCAAACAGGACATGAATCTGTAGATAGAAAGTTATATTTTCATGTACATAGATTACCGTTCTAAAGTTTGAAATGGTACTTCAGAAATTATTGTAACACGCTGATTTAGTGTTCAAGAAACATGTGACACTGAAATCTATTATTTCTGCATCAATAGTTACGCCACTGATTCTGGTAAAAGCCAAATGTTTTATTTAACTGTTATGGAGTTTCTTTGCAGTTTCCTTGTGAAAAATTGTGACCTATGAGTGCTCAGCTGCTGAGAGAAATGGACAGCACCTGAGTTAAATATTTGAGTGTCACAGCAAAGGGTCTGAATACTTAGGACCATGTGATATTTCAGTTTTTCTTTTTTAATAAATCTGCAAAAATGTCAACAATTCTGTGTTTTTCTGTCAATATGGGGTGCTGTGTGTACATTAATGAGGAAAAAAAATTAACTTAAATGATTTTAGCAAATGACTGCAATATAACAAAGAGTGAAAAATTTAAGGGGGTCTGAATACTTTCCGTACCCACTGTATATACTGTTGTCAGAGTTTATGTTTAAGCGTGTAACATTGAGTTGATTAATAACTGTGTCTGCCTGCTTCATGTATGAAACAGCTTTATTTATAGCCCAGCTGACACGTGAGCCGAGCTGTACATAAACAAGTATGCAGGCTCTCTGTAATTAACATGTCAGGCTCTCACATGAAAACAGACATAGCCACTTATACACACAATACAAGATGCTCCTGATGCTGTTTAGATCACTCGGTTGATAGGAAGGTAGATCACATCTCTATTAATCTTTAAACATGTAACTGAATATCATTCACATGAGATTTTCATTTAAATTGGGCAGAAAGCTTTTCTCTAAAATGATGATCAGCACTCTGAAGTGACAGCAATGACTACACTATGAAAACACTATATGCATAATATTTTAGGATCATGTCAATTATCTGCCAATATTAAATATATTTAAATGTATTAATATAGGCTGATGTTAAACATGTTATTATTCATTCTCATTTTTACTTTTATATATTTAGATTGTTAGCCATCATCTAATGTTCAGTTAAAGTTAATATGTAATAGCACTGTTAAATGTCATCTTTAACAAATCTTAAAATGAATATTGGATTGATATAAAAAACTGTCAAATATTAACCTTATATTGGAATCATTATGAGCACAAGCTGTAATTGCTATCTAACATGTTCATTGTGTCTGCTTTACAGAATGCATGCTTTTTATCAACCACGTAACTGTATATTACTAACATGTGGATATTACATGTGAGGGGCGTAAAATTTCCGTCTCACGCTTGAGGTATTCGGCCAATCACAACGCGCCAATCACAGCACACCTCGCTTTTTCAGACCGATGAGCTTTGTAAAAATCGATGCGTTTCAAAAAGGCGGGGCATAGTCAAAAAAGATATTGTATGCGCTCCAAAAAGATAACCAGTCCATTCTCAGGTGCGTAAATCAAGAAAATTGTATCAATCAAAAATGTCCGCACACTGAAAGACATTCAATTAGACCAAGGCAAGGGTCTATCACAAAAATTACTTTAATTTAACATCTACAGAGTGAAAAAAGTGCTAAAAAGTGCAAAGTGTCTTAAAAACAGACCAAAGAGCAGACGTTTCAGCTCATGCTTTCTTCAGTACTCATGGAACAAACAGCAACACCACTCTACTTTAAACACAATTACAAATTGTTACCAGCTGAGCTCAATCAACAGGTGATTACAAAAATAAAATATTACAAAAAACTATTACAAAAGTCCATCTCTTCATTCAATCAAGTAGGGGTTAAAGATTTCAGCTCAAAAATCCAAAAAGCCTCTCTTTGTAATAGTTTTTTTGTCACGGTTACCCCCTCTCCTATGTGGCAGAACCCTCTCAATGCCCAGGAACTTGAAATCCGAAATAGAATCCTTAGCGGACTCAAAATGTCGAAAAACTGGAGGTGTGTAATCTTGTCTCCTAATGGCATTTATATGTTCTATAATTCTGGTGCGCAATGCACGTTTAGTTTTTCCAACATACAATAGGGGACAGAGACACATAATTATGTATATCACATGTGTAGTTTTACATATAATCAATTGTTTCATTTTATTGCCACAAATTGGGTGTGTAAAAGATTTATATTTTATATAATAAAGACAAGCAGTACAATCTTTATATGGAAAGTTTCCTTGGGCATCTGAGAGGGTCCCAGGAGTGTTTTTTCACAAACATCTGTATTAGAATGGTTTACTAACTGCTTTCTGTACAACTTAAATTGTGCTGAATTTGGTGAATAATATGCAATCTGTATTTGCAACCTCATTTGCATATTTGTGCTGGAAACAATGACTCACACTGCAGCATTAAACCAGTGCAGACAGCCCTGTTAATCCAGATTGCTGGTTGTTAGTTAATATGATGTTTTTTACACCAAAAATGGCGCAATATTTATTATACCCATTATGATTCTATTTGTGTTTGTGTTGACCCCTGTGTCACTTTTTCATGTATACAGTGGGGCAAAAAAGTATTTAGTCAGCCACCAATTGTGCAAGTTCTCCCACTTAAAAAGATGAGAGAGGCCTGTAATTTTCATCATAGGTATACCTCAACTATGAGAGACAAAATGAGAAAAAAAAATCTAGAAAATCCCATTGTAGGATTTTTAAAGAATTTATTGGTAAATTCCTCGGTAAAATAAGTATTTGGTCACCTACAAACAAGCAAGATTTCTGGCTCTCACAGACCTGTAACTTCTTCTTTAAGAGGCTCCTCTGTCCTCCACTCGTTACCTGTATTAATGGCATCTGTTTGAACTTGTTATCAGTATAAAAGACACCTGTCCACAACCTCAAACAGTCACACTCCAAACCATTCTCAGGTGCGTAAATCAAGAAAAATGTGAGCAACCAAAAAAACATACAGTTAGACCAAGGCAAGGGTCTATCACAAAAATTACTTTAATTTAACATCTACAGAGTGAAAAAAGTGCTAAAAAGTGCAAAGTGTCTTAAAAACAGACCAAAGAGCAGACGTTTCAGCTCATGCTTTCTTCAGTGCTCATGGAACAAACAGCAACACCACTCTACTTTAAACACAATTACAAATTGTTACCAGCTGAGCTCAATCAACAGGTGATTACAAAAATAAAATATTACAAAAAACTATTACAAAAGTCCATCTCTTCATTCAATCAAGTAGGGGTTAAAGATTTCAGCTCAAAAATCCAAAAAGCCTCTCTTTGTAATAGTTTTTTTGTCACGGTTACCCCCTCTCCTATGTGGCAGAACCCTCTCAATGCCCAGGAACTTGAAATCCGAAATAGAATCCTTAGCGGACTCAAAATGTCGAAAAACTGGAGGTGTGTAATCTTGTCTCCTAATGGCATTTATATGTTCTATAATTCTGGTGCGCAATGCACGTTTAGTTTTTCCAACATACAATAGGGGACAGAGACACATAATTATGTATATCACATGTGTAGTTTTACATATAATCAATTGTTTCATTTTATTGCCACAAATTGGGTGTGTAAAAGATTTATATTTTATATAATAAAGACAAGCAGTACAATCTTTATATGGAAAGTTTCCTTGGGCATCTGAGAGGGTCCCAGGAGTGTTTTTTCACAAACATCTGTATTAGAATGGTTTACTAACTGCTTTCTGTACAACTTAAATTGTGCTGAATTTGGTGAATAATATGCAATCTGTATTTGCAACCTCATTTGCATATTTGTGCTGGAAACAATGACTCACACTGCAGCATTAAACCAGTGCAGACAGCCCTGTTAATCCAGATTGCTGGTTGTTAGTTAATGTGATGTTTTTTACACCAAAAATGGCGCAATATTTATTATACCCATTATGATTCTATTTGTGTTTGTGTTGACCCCTGTGTCACTTTTTCATGTATATGTGTGTGCAGTTTCCCATGATAAGTGAGTTTGGAGATGACAGAAACTCCTACTGCTCCTTTGAGCCCAAAGACACAGTGCTGCTCCAGTCAGAGAATGGCAGTCTGCAACAAAGAGTCAACATGCTGACCCTCGAGGTGAGAGGACACAAATACACACCTAAATACACACACCCAACCCTTTCTGGAATGTATTTCATCTGATGTTCTGCTAATTTCAAACACCCGCTTGTTATATTATGGCTTGGCTATATTGTGTTGTAAATCTGGATTACACATCACAAAATGGAAAGATTAGAGAGGTAATACGATTAGTAGGGAAACAAAGGACAACTTCAGATGGGCAGTCATTCATGACAAAAGGCCTTACAAAATCTAGACCACAAAGCATTCATTTTTGTGTGCCAGAAGCCCGCTCGAAATCGTCTCTCCCGACTGGCTGTGATGTGAAGTGTAAATGGAAAGATCATACTCTCTCTCTCTCTGCATCTCTCGGCTTATTGCCTGGCGAAGCATCACATTAATTAATGATGATTGCTATGTGTTTCCATAGCCACCCAACAGCCTTCCCTCCTTCGAAGAGCCAGATTTCTCTTTGTCATCTGTTCTTCTCTCTCTCCCACACCTCCCTCGCTTTTGCTGACGTTTGGTACTTTGTGTGTACGTTCCTTATTGTTCCCCATCCTCCTCGTTTAACTGTGGTCTTCCTTCTTGATTTGTGTCTCGTGTTTCATTCTTTTCATACTTTTTTCCAGCACCCAGAGCTTTGCATTCATGAGCTATCGCTGATATCTAATGCAGCATAATTGAAAGTAAATACCCTGTTCTGTTATTTTTTCTGAAAACAAGCTACTATTATCTGTGAAGCCAAAGGATCACTGCAGAGAAGTGCATTATATGATAATTGAAGTAGATGCTTATGTGTGTCTGTATTAAAATGAAAGTGCAGGCAACAACACGAGTGCATTTGTTTCACTTTTTTATTATTTTTTTTACTTATTGCCTGGCGAAGCATCACATTAATTAATGATGATTGCTATGTGTTTCCATAGCCACCCAACAGCCTTCCCTCCTTCGAAGAGCCAGATTTCTCTTTGTCATCTGTTCTTCTCTCTCTCCCACACCTCCCTCGCTTTTGCTGACGTTTGGTACTTTGTGTGTACGTTCCTTATTGTTCCCCATCCTCCTCGTTTAACTGTGGTCTTCCTTCTTGATTTGTGTCTCGTGTTTCATTCTTTTCATACTTTTTTCCAGCACCCAGAGCTTTGCATTCATGAGCTATCGCTGATATCTAATGCAGCATAATTGAAAGTAAATACCCTGTTCTGTTATTTTTTCTGAAAACAAGCTACTATTATCTGTGAAGCCAAAGGAACACTGCAGAGAAGTGCATTATATGATAATTGAAGTAGATGCTTATGTGTGTCTGTATTAAAATGAAAGTGCAGGCAACAACACGAGTGCATTTGTTTCACTTTTTTATTATTTTTTTTTATATATATTGGGCAGAACACCTTTTGTGTCTATAAATGTTTTTATTCTCTCTCACACCATATCCTACTGGTTTCCAGCAACATGCAATTTGTCAAAGAGTGAAACTTATAAGCAACATGACCAGTTGACAGAATGGTCACTTGCCCTTTTGCCACTTAACTATTACATTTTGTTGATCTTGTACCATCCATTTTCTTGCCTTGTAAACATAAATGTTTGTTTTTTTTTGTTGCTGATTTGTAACCAGCTTAGTTATCTGTGGTTTTGTAGAAATTGCAAAAAATAAGCATACGTATGAATCTGATAAACTACAAACAATTCAAACTTCAGTACAAACATCAGTAATCATATACCACTGTTTCTCAGCAAAAATGTTAATGAATTAATCGATTAAGATTATAGCTATATAATTTTCAGATTGTAACAAGTTTTCTGGGGTTTTTTAATATTTTGAATCAAAGATTTTTGTAAAGAAACCTTAGCATTTAATACATATTTATGTTAATATTCATTTACTGTAAATTAATGTTAATACAAATTCATTGTAGCTATATAATTTTCAGCTTGTTGCAAATTTTCTGTCTATAAAGAAAAACATTTTATTAAAAAATAATTTTAAATTAATTTCTTATTCCTTTATTTTTCTCTTGTTATTTTTCCATTCACACATAAAAACGGATCACTCAGAACTATTGGCTGACTAAGGAAAAAATATTTTGAAAAAAGTTAATAAAGGAATAAGGTCATATTAGGTCATGTGTCTAGAACCAGACAGCTGTCAGCAGAGCTGATATTGTTATTGGCCTACTAGGAACATATATTTATTTATTTATTTAGTCATTTATTAGACGCTTTTATCCAAAGTGACTTACAAATGAGGACAAAAGAAGCAATCAATTATAGTATTAAAACAACTAAAAACAGATCCAAAACTAAAAGCTAAAACTTTATAAATACTACTTATACACATTTTAAAAATAAAGAAATTAAATAAAAATGACAAATGCATACAACAAAATTTCAAAACTTAACATGTAAATGAAAAACAAAAAATAAAGCTAAAAACAATTCAAAATAAGAACAAAAGGTATAAGAGTATAATAATGATTCTAACATAACACTAACCCAAACACCAAAAAAAAACAACTACATATATGTGTATGTACAACCATACATACACACATATATATATATATACACATACACATTTATAAATGCAATATATATATACTGTATATATTATTTCATTTCCATTTAGTTTGTTGAAGTATTAAAATAACTCAAATTAAATAAAACTAAAACTTAATAAAAGACCTATACAGACATAATAAAACTAAAATTAAAATAACAAATACAAATAATACAAATCAAACGACAGTAGTTTATCAGTAATCCTAAAAAATAACACTGCCAAACATACATGCTAAAAAACAACAACTTACTTACACATAGTAAGAAATGGTTATAAAAACAGAAACAGAAGTGAAACAAATAGTAGGAAAGAGGAGAAATAAAAAGTGATACTTATTATAATATAATAATACTTATACATATAAAATCCATAACAGTAATAAACAAGCCAGTTAAAAGAAATGTGACAAGAAATAACTTACAAAATGAGAATGTTTTAATATAAATTTTATAGTACACCCAGCTCATACCAAATGTTACAACATCTTGTCATTATACAGCCCAAGAACATCCCAAATGTCCTTGTAATTCAAGTTCTTATACACAGTAATATAAAATGTAAAAATACAAAAAATGTCTGTGAGAATTAAAGATTTTAAATATCATTAGGTGTGTATAAAAGCAGTTAAGCCAAAGGAAAGTATTTGCATTGATGGGAGTGTTTGTGTTCTCCAGCTTCAGACAAGCAAAGAGCGAGAGGAGCAGCTTGAAGATGTCATTCAGGCCTATGAGAAAATCCACATGGAGAAGTCCAGCCTTCAGCGAGACCTAGACAAGATGGTGAGAACTCTCATAAAACATTCATTCCATGACATCCATGCTAAGTTTGGCTGCTGAGCGGATGGGCATTTGCGATAATTAGCCTCTCCATGTGCTTCAGGCTTTAATCCAACCAGGTGTCCACTTGATTAATCTTGTACTCTCATACATCCGAACGGGGCTATGTGAATCTAATTGGGCTCTTATATTACCCAGACAAGCCCTCATATAAGTGGATGATGCTGGATATCTGTAATCATATATGCACATTTGCAGCCTCAGTTTTAAAGTCTCAAATGGCTTTGAATGGATTTGAGTTCTTGAAAAATGCATGATGCAGGCGTTTGTATGAAGGGCCATACAAGCCATAATTCATTCTGGCACTCTCACACACTTATATTCTCTTTTCACATACATATATTTCTACTCTCACACGCTTACATTCTCCTTTCACATACATACATTTTTGCTCTCATAGTCACATATTTTAATGAACAGATGATACATTTTTGTTCTCATGGTCATATATTTTAACAAACATTCATACATTTTCCTCTTATATTCATATGTGCTTATGCACACATTTATACATTTTGCTCTTATGCAAATGTATTCAAATGATACATTTAATATTATAAATAATAAAGGTATATAAGAAGAAAATGCATGTTTGTGTGTATGTAAGAGAAGAATGTATGTATGTGTGAGAGAGTATAATGAAAACGGAAGGTGAATGATGGAAAAGGAAGGCAGGTTAGGCGCGATCAGTGTTACGTTCAGGACAGGTCCTTATCAGCATGGCTGAGGTAGATGAGGCGGCCGCAGAAGTATTTCAGCAAGCTATTTGGGTTTTAAAAAACTATTATAATCTTGAAAATTTACATATTTGACCTCGTCCCTTGAGCAAGTTGTAATTGAAGGCACGGGCGCAGCCTCCGCCGTGTTGCCAGATACACTTATTATAAGCATCTATGGATTTTTTTTTTCAACTTGTGACAATTTCAAGTAGATATAACTGCAGACCAGAGATCTCCAAAATGGGGCGTGAACTCCAAAAGTGGGCAGAACCTCCAAAATGGGGCGGGGTCTCTTCATGCAAAGAATTTCACCATTGGCTCTGGCTCCAGCCAATTGTTATTGACTTACATTTCAAAATAAAACTTAATTAAACATTGTTTCTAGTTAATCTAAAATAAAATATGCTATATAAGTAAATATTCTCTGTGAGAGCAGAGCCCAAAGCTCGTGGCCAGTGGTGTTCGGACTGGAGATTGAACCTCTGCTTAATGATATAAAAGAGAATCACTCACGAGCTCTCTAGCGAGCCGTCCCAGCGCAGGGGAAAGATTTTACACTATTACTTTGTTCTAAGCAACGGGAGGCCTTGAAATTCGCAGGGTAGGAGGGGGTAGTGACGCTGGGTGTAAATAAAAGGGTGCCATTGTCCGGTGAGGTCCAGTTGGGGAGTTACGAAGCGATCAGGTTGAGGTCAGCGATATCTTTATATTATTTCCAAAGCTCGAGATTTGGACTTATTTCGGTTCATTCATTTTTAGATTGTTTTGTTTGTTTTTGGTAGCAATATTGGTCAACACTTGACTGACAGTAAACCGTCCATAAACAGCGCGGGCAGGTTATTCATGACAGGGTACCACATTTGGTCACACAAGTAGTGATCATCATGATAAGCTGCACAACAAAGACATGCAGTACCTGCAACTACACAGCCCTGACTCACATAGTAAGTCTTGTTTTGTCTGTATGCATGCAGGTGTTAATTTACAAATCACTCAGTGGTCTAGGACATGCAGATATTTACCTAAAACCGCTACCACTGACTCATTCACTGCTCAGTAATTGTCACATAGTCAAAATCAAAATTAGAGAACAATCTATAAATACTTGATTTTATTTCAGAATGGTTGTTAATCTTCATTGCTCAAAATTTGAAGGAATATTAGCTGTAGGTATACCACTCTCATACATGTTTGTAACTATATAACTAAACAAAAATTTTGGAGGATTACAAGCTGTGCTAAATTAATTGAGTGTTTTCAGCATCAAGGAACTGATTTACCCGTTTTGCACTGTGACGGAAACATTGTCTTGCATGAAAATTGCTGGTTGATTGAGACATGCTTGCAGGGAAGGTACCACATGTTGCTGAAGGAGATCCTTACCCTGTTCATAGCTGAACTGGCGAGCAATTCCAGCTGCAGTGTTGAACCGATTCCCCGTTGAGTGTCTCCGCATTTACCCGTCTTCTCATGCATTTGTCTTACGTGGATGACCAGCCTTTTGGGGGACTTGAATGAATTAGTGTCATTGTAATGCTGTAATAATCGAGAAATCACATATTTGGAATGACCAGCTTTTCTTGCAATGGCTGAAAGGGTCATCCCTTTAGACTTCATCTGGACAACTTCCTGTCGCAAGGTTTCATTTATCTTAGAGCAGCCCACCATCTTGCAATTTCAGTGAAAATTAAAGGAATGCTACCAGTTAAATAGGGTTTGTCATATAATTAAGGAAATTAGCACCAGGTGCCAGATTAACACCAATAATTTGGAGGTATATGAAAGTGTTCTCTAATTTTTATCAGAGTTTTGATCAGAGTACAAGGACAGAGTGAACAAAAGTGAGTGCATTCGGACAGTATTGCACTTAGTATGATCTTACAGTTGTTTCACATCCTGAATGACAAGAAAACTATTTGAAATCTGTTCAGACTGAGATGAAAAAAATCACATATTAGATATGGATATGATTTGGATTACGTTTATAAACAATTTTAAACAGTCTTATAAACAGTTTTTTTTCTGTTCAGACTAATTAAAACACTAAATAGTTACAACAATACGACAACCTATTTAAAAACTTAAAAATAAAATGTATCCTTTAATTAAATACCAACTCTCGCTGTACAAGTAAATTGCATGTAATCTAATTGACAAGCTGCAACTTGACTGTTCACACACACACAAAATCAAAATTAGAGAACAATCTATAAATACTTGATTTTATTTCAGAATGGTTGTTAATCTTCATTGCTCAAAATTTGAAGGAATATTAGCTGTAGGTATACCACTCTCATACATGTTTGTAACTATATAACTAAACAAAAATTTTGGAGGATTACAAGCTGTGCTAAATTAATTGAGTGTTTTCAGCATCAAGGAACTGATTTACCCGTTTTGCACTGTGACGGAAACATTGTCTTGCATGAAAATTGCTGGTTGATTGAGACATGCTTGCAGGGAAGGTACCACATGTTGCTGAAGGAGATCCTTACCCTGTTCATAGCTGAACTGGCGAGCAATTCCAGCTGCAGTGTTGAACCGATTCCCCGTTGAGTGTCTCCGCATTTACCCGTCTTCTCATGCATTTGTCTTACGTGGATGACCAGCCTTTTGGGGGACTTGAATGAATTAGTGTCATTGTAATGCTGTAATAATCGAGAAATCACATATTTGGAATGACCAGCTTTTCTTGCAATGGCTGAAAGGGTCATCCCTTTAGACTTCATCTGGACAACTTCCTGTCGCAAGGTTTCATTTATCTTAGAGCAGCCCACCATCTTGCAATTTCAGTGAAAATTAAAGGAATGCTACCAGTTAAATAGGGTTTGTCATATAATTAAGGAAATTAGCACCAGGTGCCAGATTAACACCAATAATTTGGAGGTATATGAAAGTGTTCTTATCAGAGTATCAGAGTTTTGATCAGAGTACAAGGACAGAGTGAACAAAAGTGAGTGCATTCGGACAGTATTGCACTTATTACAGTTGTACAGTTGTTTCACATCCTGAATGACAAGAAAACTATTTGAAATCTGTTCAGACTGAGATGAAAAAAATCACATATTAGATATGGATATGATTTGGATTACGTTTATAAACAATTTTAAACAGTCTTATAAACAGTTTTTTTTCTGTTCAGACTAATTAAAACACTAAATAGTTACAACAATACGACAACCTATTTAAAAACTTAAAAATAAAATGTATCCTTTAATTAAATACCAACTCTCGCTGTACAAGTAAATTGCATGCAATCTAATTGACAAGCTGCAACTTGACTGTTCACACACACACACACACACACACTGTAAGTGTGAAATAAACACGTGGGACCCCCCAAATCCGGAACTGTGTAGTCTTCATCGCTTCCGTCCGTATTAGAGCTCTGCACGGGCCTCAAATATAGGCCCTAGCCCGGCCCTGGCCCGAGACGCTCAGGCCCTAGCCCGGCCCGCATCCGACAGCTCATCAGAATTCTTGACCCGAGTCTGACCAGAGCCCGTCTTGTTTTCCCCCCTTCTCCCAAAACAGCTTATAGCTATACTACTGTTTCAGCTATTAAAATAGTTTTGTAGCTATGTAATGTCAAAGTGATTATATTTTGTTTAGTTTTTTTTTTGTTAATTTAGAAAAAATCTTTCTAAATTTTTTTGTTCGTTAAATGTAAGTTTTTGTTTTTTAACGACCAAGTGGCCAGCGGCACACAGTCATAGCCTATGTTTGATCAATTTAGTCTTCTCAAATCATCACGACTTGCCTAAAATAAAATCTATAGATATAAAACAGTTCAAGCATATCACAATGCTAGTTTAAATGTTTAACCTATATAAATGTGCGCTATTAGATGCATATCTAATTGTTTGTGCGGAGAGCTAAAGCGCGCTTTACAGGACATGGAGGCGTTGGCGCGATCACTTGCATTGGAAACAACTTAAAATATGCCGTAATTATTGCTCATAAAAGGTAAGAGTAATACATCACTCAGAACTGTAAAGGGTCTACTTTTATTTGTGTGCACTCACAATATCAACAAAACGGTGTGCTTTTATAAAATAAAGTATACTCATTGGACGCGCTTTTAGAGATAAATGCATCTTTATGGATTTTATAACGAAAGAGTTTTTGTTTTCGATTTGAATTATTTAATTTTAAAGTAGTAATTTAAAGCTTTCTATAGATACACTTAGCAAGTCTGTGAGGCAGGTATTCGCTGAGTTTCGGTTCATCATTGTGAAGCGCTCCTGGCCAAAATTGCAGAAAGTGCATCCTGTATGTAGATGGCGAGTCAGGATCATCATCTTCATCTTGGCGATAAGGACTCAGAAAACATTAATTTATTAATAAATAATTCAAATATCTCCTTACTATTTCCCCGACACATTCATGGTAATTACTTTTGCTGGGGCTTTAACCATAAAAAAAAATGGCCCAAGCCCGGCCAGAATGGACTCAGCGTGTCGGGCCCCGTCGGGCTTGCAGACCTCTATATCTCACGTCATATTGCCATGGTTTAATTTGCTTTCGTGTAGTGAGGGAAAAAAACACTTTTCAGGCAATTGGTTCTTAGCTCTGCTGTTTGATACCCTCACGTGGGGCAATGAAAATTTCTGAAATGTCAGAAATGTATCTGACCATCAGATTGCCAGTCGGGAGAGGTTAATCGTCTCTCGTTACCCCCATATGCTGTACAACAAACGGCGCACAGCAAAGCTTAAAGGGGACATAACACACAGTTTCACCCAATCTCATGTTGAGTACCTATAGAGTAGTATTGCATCCTTCATATCTCCAAAAAGTATTTAGTTTTATCATATTTATAAAAGAAAGATACTGCTTTACGATTCTCTCCAGAAAAAGCAGAGCTCCTGGAGGCGCTGTGGGCAGAGCTAAAGATTGACGAGCACTTGAGCTCCGACTGCCAAAAAACACAGACATTTGACGCAGTTTCACTTACCGTCTGCAGTTCTGAATCATGACCAGGATCTTTTACAACTGGGACCGCTCCATCTTTCAGTATCAAACGATGTGCAAATCCAGCGTCGAACTGGGCTAAACTTTCGTCAACAAACACGCTTGTGAAATTGCATTGCTGCCCCGGAAAAACAAACTGTATCCACTGTTTACATAACGCTGGGTTCTTTAGGAAGCTGAACAAAGTTATCTTTCCCTTACAACCAAAAGCACACTTCTTTAGAGACATTCTTCCCGAGTGAGTCCCGTGCAGCGCTGCTGAATGAAACGCGTTGATGGGCGCACTCTTGCTCTTGCTCTCGCTCTGGTCGATGCGTGCGCGGGCGCGCTCTTCCGGGAGAAATGCCCATATAAGAAACTCTGTTGCTGCCCCCAGAAAAACAAACTGTATCCACTGATCTCATAACGCTGGGTTCTTTGGGAAGCTGAACAAAGTTATCTTTCCCTTACAACCAAAAACACGCTTCTTTGGATTGGAGACATTCTTCCCTAGCAAGTCCCATGCAGCGCTGCCGCCGGATGAAACGCGTTGATGGGCGCGATCTCGCTCTGGTTGATGCGTGCTCGGGCGCGTTCTTCTGGGAGAAATGCCCATATAAGGAGTTCCACCCTCGTCTACGTCATGAAGAGCCACGATCGGAAAAAACTCTCCAAAACTTGTACAAACCCGGAAGTAAGAGTGATCAGAGAGATCTGTTGCTTCAAAGACATGCTATCGGACAATTTGTCTGCAGCCTCATATGACAGAGAACATTCTGAGTATGTTTAAGGAACACCAGAAATGTATTGATGTTCCTCTAACATTATACTCCATATTTTTCTATGATTTATTCAACTGTAAACGAGTGCAAACTCCACTTAAACTTTGAGAAGATTGCTAATTAATTTAAACCATTGATTAGCAGTGTATTTTTAACTTCAAATTTGAAAATCGCCTTTTGTTCAAATTAATATTGATAATAATGTCACTATAATATCTGCACACTGTACTGCAATTGGTTTTGTTTTTTTGCATTAATTTGCATACTGAATTGAGACTGCTCTGTCATGTACATTGTGGCCCTATATAAACAAATAAACAAATAAATAACTAGTATATATATATTACAAATACAATACAAATTTTGTATTGCTTTGGCTGTGTTTACTTTATCAAAATATGAAATATTTTTGAGACGATTTTTCTGATGATTTTTCTGATTATTTTATTAAAGGCTACGTGTTCTGCTATCCTAGCAATAAAAGGCACATTATGGATGTTGATTTTTATTTATTGACACAGTGTGTTTGCCTTATCTAATCACAATAACTGTCCATCTCTAGTGCTAGACTGCCCCATGACCCTACAGAGCTCCCGAAGTCTGGACACCCTCTCTGACCTCAAACTGCAGCGTCTGGAGGCGGAGCTAGAGGGGGCACGGCACGAGGCTCAGGGGGCATGTCAGAGGGAGGAGGAGCTAAAAGCTGAATGTGAGAGGTTAAGGGAAGAGCTGAGAGAACTGCAAAGCAACCAGAGGCAGAGGGTCAGTAACACAAACACACACATGCTTAAAGACTGAAATAGGAACTACACTGTCAAAATTGATTTTTGTCAGGTCTCTTAGACTTTGATTCTCAGAGACTTCTATTCTCAGACTTAGAAAAAACAGAGTGTGGTAAGTAATAAACCAATCAAAAATATTCCCACTTTGATGGCATATAACTGAATTGTGCCTTTGTATCCTTTGACGTGACCTTTCATGCTTTTTCAGGCTTCAGATTTAAGATTAAGGCATATACAATTTAAAAGTCAGGCATATACAATTTAAAAAGTGGTCAGTAAAAGTAAGTAAGTAAGTAAACAGAGATTACTTACGAAGTACAAAAACTTGTATCAGTATAGTTTACTTTACTATTTATTTTTCAAACAACTTTTTACTTTCACTCCTTACATTTTCTACACTAAAATCTGTACTTTCTACTTACATTTTCAAACCAGGCTGGTTATTTTTGTGGCATGATCAAAAATATTTCTCATCATTGCGTGCCTTTTTCAATCTAATGTAAAACAGAAAACACGACCCCATTGGTCTATTATTTCGTGGTTATCACACGCCACAGACATAGGCTAGTCTATGAAGCTACCAGAGAGCAAGAAGAATGGCTAACATTACAGATGAGACAGGGATTTAGCATTGTCGACATGACTGAGAAATTAGAGACATTCCCAAGGCTAATACATTTACCACAGTAGCATGCATGCGGTACAGTTTTGTGATGTATGGGAGCCTGTTTACAAACCTGTTGTCAAACAAAGAGAATATTTAATGACATGTTTTAGTCTAAATTCACTTAACATCAGTGGAGTGTTTGAAATAACTTGTAATCTGACATGGTTTCATCAGTGGTGTATAAAGTACCTGAACGCCATACTCAAGTAAAAGTACAGATATCTTACCAGAAAATGACTTTGGTAGAAGTTGAAGTCACCGTTTAGAATATTACTTGAGTAAAATTGTTAAACTATGTGATATTTATTGTACTTAAGTACGAAAAGTATTTTTTAAATCTTAAACGTACTTAAGTATTGAAAGTAAAAGTACAAGTAAATGCAAAATTGAAAAGAAGCAAATAAATATATATATAAAAAAAATGTTCATACACAGCTTGAGTAGCAAGATTGTGTTTAGTTTTAACTCTTTCTTCCATTTTATATTTTTGGGTAAGAATAAGAAGCACTTCATCCGGTACTTAGTGTCTTTCATTCCAACATAAGAAAGCATTTCTGGAATCTGCATCTGAAATAGCATTTAGATGTATTTACACAGTTTATGTATCTCAGAGGGGACATGGATGCATTTAAACTGCAGTTACAGATGCATAAATAGGCCTAATGTTTTGTTTTGAACATAAAACGTTGAATACTGAAATATAAATAATTTAAAACATGAAAAAAATAATCGAAATGTGAAACGTACTCTTTGTGTGATATAGATTAAGTTAACTATATTAAATTATATAAATATAAACAGCATACAGAAGCATTTTTGCCATCTACAATTTAGAATGCTGGGAATTTTGAGTTTTATAGACTAATAAATCTACACTAATAAAGTGTGATTTAGTGATATAGCCTACTTGATAATGTCAGATCGCACATCATTACAACAACACTTACCATATTGTCGCAGAAGATACTGTATAGCCTATCGCACACCCCAGACTCGACTTGAGTGGAAAATGAATCATCCGCGGTTGTGCGCGCACTTGTTTGCACGTGAGCAAAGGTGTTTTTAGGAGTCTAACTTGCAAACGCCAGACCACTGATTCGTCAAACCTGCTTTCCTGCAGTCCGTGTTCTTCTGACTTCTGACTATTTTGTAGTAAGTAATGAATATTTATTTCGGGGAAATGTATCGGAGTAAAAGTATACATTTTAATTAGGAAATGTAGTGAAGTACACGTTGGCTGAAATATAAAAGCTCAAGTAAAGTACAGATACTCCCAAAAAATACTTAAGTACTGTAACAGAGTATTATTACTTCGTTACATTACACCACTGGGTTTCATATCAGATAATGAGGCAGAAACCATACTATTATAGTATCTATACAGTGATAGAAGGCTACTGCATTATAAATATACTTTATTCTTATAAAAATACACAAGATGCCTTGAACACATACTGAAACCATATATTGTCACAATTGTATGTCTATAGAGCGTTTACACCTACGTCACGGTTTGGTCAGTTACCCGGCTGCACGACATATTGGAGATACTTGAATGTAAACAACAGCATGGATTGCATGGTTAATGTACTACTGAAGACGTTGTTCTAATAATTTATGAGGTCTAAACCATGGAAAAAAACATAAGCTGCCAAATCATATAGAGAAGGTCTTAGTAAGCAGAAAACTATGCGATATTTTGACAAACTAAAGTTAATAGGTGGTAAAGATCCGTACGAGCTGGCTCCTTTGTTGTGGACTGATGACCAGACAATTCTTCCTTCTATTTCTTATTCCGACATAGTGAATTACTTTGTTTTTTCACAAAGCCCACACAAGAGTTCCATTCGGTTCAGTGGCATTGTTTACGTTCAGTGCCGCCAATATGGCCAGCTTCCGGATTGATGACGTGTCATGAAAACAGACATTATGTGAAGTCCCTTCATTTACATTATGTGAAGTCCCTTCCAGCTTCAAACGCTCCTCATCCCCATACCAAAGAAACCCAAAATCACAGGAATAAATGACTACAGACCTGTTGCTTTAACGTCTGTGGTCATGAAGTCATTTGAAAAACTGGTTATGGGCCACCTGAAGGACATCACTGGACTCTTGCTGTACCCCCTGCAGTTTGCTTACCGAGCAAACAGGTCTGTGGATGAAGCAGTCAACATGGGACTGCATTATATCCTACAATATCTGGACAAACCAGGGACTTATGTGAGGGTCCTGTTTGTGGACTTCAGCTCGCCCTTCATCCAGCACCCGCACCATTTGCACTGGCACCCCCCAGGGATGTGTTCTCTCCCCACTGCCCTTCTCCCTCTACACCAACGACTGCATTGCAAAGGATCCCGCTGTCAAGCTCCTAAAGTTTGCAGACGACACCACACTCATCCAGGACAGTGACGAGTCTGCTTAAAGAAAGGAGGTTAAAGAGCTGGCTGTCTGGTGCAGTCTTAACAACCTGGACCTGAACACGCTCAAAACATTGGAGATGATTGTGGACTTCAGGAGAAACCTCCCTGCACTCCCCCCACTCACCATCATGAACAGCACTGTAGCAACAGTGGAGTCATTCAGATTCCTGGGCACCACCATTTCTCAGTACCTGAAGTGGGAGTTCCACATAGATTCCATTGTTTAAAAGGCCCAGCAGAGACTGTACTTCCTTCGACAGCTGAGGAAGTTCAACCTGCCACAGGAGCTGCTGATGCAGTTTTACTCTGCAGTCCCTGAATCCGTCCTCTGCACATCTATAACTGTCGGGTTCAGCTCAGCTACCAAAACTGACCTCAGAAGACTACAGTGGATAGTCTGTACTGCTGAGCGAATCATTGGTACAACCCTCCCCACCCTCCAAGAACTGTACTCATCCAGAGTGAGTAAAAGAGCTGGAAAAATAATTCTGGACCCCTCACACCCAGCCCACTTCCACTCTGAACTGTTGCCGTCTGGTCACACTACAGGGCAGAGTGGAGTATATTGCTATTTTTTGTTACTTATTCTATTTTTATTACCTGTGTCTTATCACTGTCATTCTGTTTGTGCTGTGGAAGCTTCTGTCACCATAACAAATTTCTTGTATAAGTAAACATACCTGGCTATAAAGCTCTTTCTGATACTGATTCTGATGTGAACAGGGCTAAACAAGTGTAAATAATGCTTGGACTCAATAAAACTTCTATAAAATTTACGGTATAACACCTCAATTTTACAATATTTTAAATTATTATAATAATTTTGAGTTGTTTCCAAGAACAAGAGGCAGATTTTTTTCCCCCTCAGCTTTGTCTTTTTCTCTCCTTGTGTTCTACATGGTGGTTGTTTATCCTGGATACATTCATTAGCTAACAAAATTTGAAATGTAAGTTCTTTTAAATTAATGTATTAATATGACGTGAGGTCTATTAACAGAGTGACACTACAACAGGTAGTAGTAATAGCAACTTTTTACTTAATTACATGTCAGAGCCCATACTTCTTTACTTTAACTTGAATAAAAAATTTTAGTCAGTACTTCAACTTTTATCAGAGTCTTTTTAAACATGAGTATCTGTACTTCTACTTGAGTGAAGGACGTGTGTACGTTTGCCATCTCTGGATGGATTGATTGGGGAAGAAATTACCATTTTATTTAGCAAGGATGTGTTAAGTTGCACAAACATATAAAAAATGACTTGTTTGTTTTCAATATTTATAATAAGAATGTTTCTTGAGCATGAAATCAGCATTTAAGAATGACTTCTGAAAGACACTGAAGACTGAGATATTGACTGCTGAAAATTCAACTTTGCCATCCCAGCAATAAATAAAATATATTAAAATAGCATATAAGTAATAAAGAGGTTGTATGAAGCCTGACATATTGCTTTTTTGCGCAGGAGGTGAGTTCCACATGTGGACAGTGTGATGTGGAGTGGATAAAGAAAGTTGGAGATGAACAGTAAGTGTCTGTTTTATTGATTTAAAACCTACAGCCGTGCAGAAGCAGTTAAGTTACTGCTTTTGTAAATCCATTTCATAAAATTTTGCTGCTATATTTAATACAAATGCATGGCTAGTTTCCTTTGGACATGTGGGCCATGGAAATTTGCCAGTAGAGGGCAATATAGCTATTGGCAACCCTCCAGATCACAGTCTCACAGAAGTGGTCCAAAGTGTTCTCTTAAACTGAGGCTAAAGAGAATGTTTAAGTGAAATGGGGATTCTTGGAAAGGTCGCAAGTAATGCCTACGTCTCTTTTTTGCACCTCACAGTTTCACACTTTACTCCCCCTCTCAGTTTGAACTGCTGGTTCTTGTAAAAGTCGTGATTTAACAGAAAACGGCCCAAACCTTACTTGCAGTTACTCAGACATTCTTATGCTGGTAGTTTTTGATGTCTTGTTTGTCTTGTTTCCTGATGGAGCAGTTTATTGGGGAAAAAAAATCATTTTCATTTTCATAGCCACTGATTCTAAAAGAAAGACAAAAGACAATCTGTGGTTTGGATATTTTCCACAGTGTTCAGATTTATCATGATTGACATTGGCATCCCTATATATATATATATATATATAGGGTATACATATACATACATACACATATATATACACACACACACACACACATACATGGATGTTATATTCTTTTTCTTAACAAGCAATGCACAAATTATATCTATTTTAATGGCAACCCTTTGGTATTAAACAGGTTAAATTATTAAACAAGTATGTTGACCTATTCAGCATCGATGTGTGAAGTCATGATTTTAAATCATTGCTGATGCATTGACACTTGAGAAATTGTATTGATAAATGGCATTTCCATCAGCTATGTCGGTAAACATTTTGATGCGTTGAGTCTTTATATGCAGAAAAATCCTTGGACGGAAACCTGGCTAGTGATGCATTGGCAGTTAAACTGACTTAGCTGTCTTTGTGTGTTAAAAGGCGTTGTCCCAACATAAACACAACCATAAACCCGAGAGTGTCACCTCACTGTAAATATAGCAATTCTCATTTAAACATTTTAAGTGTGTATGTGTGTTTATACATACATACACACACACACACACACACACACACACACACACACACATAAATATATATATTTCAAAGGTGTATCCAATGTGTGTGTATGTAAGTATATGTGTGGGTATTTTATTAGAAATACACACACACATGCTGTATATAGACGCTTGAGTATGCGTGCAAGAAGGGCCTTGAAATATTAAAAATAGCTATCATTCAGCATGTATTTGAGTTGTTTGGTTCAGACAACAAACCTTTAAGTGCATTATTTACCCAAAAATACTGATTTGAAGGGTTAAGAAGTTTTGCAATTATTTGAATAATAATGCTTTCTGGGAAAAGGTACTTATTTGTTTCTGATTAGTATTTATCGTCTACAGTGTGGGCTGTGCTGATTAAGTTATTTGGCTGCTTTAGATTGATGTTTTGCTAAAAAAAAATAGAAGGTAAATTCATATAGCCGACATTTGTTTGCATAAAGACGACGAATATTATAGATACTAGTTTCAGAGTAAAGGTCAGACATCACTCAAGCAGCCCACATACCCATGCCTCCCACACTAGATCATCATCAATATTCAGATAAAAAGCACACAAACACACACACACACACACATCCTCCCGCACATTTTTTTTCACATTTTCTTATTTTTGTACTTAATAGTTCTGCAACTGCTCAAAAAACATTTTTCATACAGCTGTGATTTATACTTCAATGTACACACACACACAGATATGTAACGTGTGTGTATACAGTATGTCTATACACACATAAATGACAGACAGACAGACAGACACACACACACACACACACACACACACACACACATAAATATATATATTTCAAAGGTGTATCCAATGTGTGTGTATGTAAGTATATGTGTGGGTATTTTATTAGAAATACACACACACACACATGCTGTATATACATGCTTGAGTATGCGTGCAAGAAGGGCCTTGAAATATTAAAAATAGCTATCATTCAGCATGTATTTGAGTTGTTTGGTTCAGACAACAAACCTTTAAGTGCATTATTTACCCAAAAATACTGATTTGAAGGGTTAAGAAGTTTTGCAATTATTTGAATAATAATGCTTTCTGGGAAAAGGTACTTATTTGTTTCTGATTAGTATTTATCGTCTACAGTGTGGGCTGTGCTGATTAAGTTATTTGGCTGCTTTAGATTGATGTTTTGCTAAAAAAAAATAGAAGGTAAATTCATATAGCCGACATTTGTTTGCATAAAGACGACGAATATTATAGATACTAGTTTCAGAGTAAAGGTCAGACATCACTCAAGCAGCCCACATACCCATGCCTCCCACACTAGATCATCATCAATATTCAGATAAAAAGCACACAAACACACACACACACACACATCCTCCCGCACATTTTTTTTCACATTTTCTTATTTTTGTACTTAATAGTTCTGCAACTGCTCAAAAAACATTTTTCATACAGCTGTGATTTATACTTCAATGTACACACACACACAGATATGTAACGTGTGTGTATACAGTATGTCTATACACACATAAATGACAGACAGACAGACAGACAGAAACAGGACATGCAGGTGACACTACTCTTGTTTCATTTCATGTATGTTAATAGGGACGTTTCAGTGAACAGTCCAAAAGGTGATGCATTCATAGTCCGTTTCATAAGATTCATACTGTAGATTGTGCATGCAAGTGTGTGTGTGTGTGTGTGTGTGTGTGTAAGCTTGTGTGGAGGTGAGAAAAAAAGTGTCACACATCTAAATCTGCTGTAAATACCTCTTTGATAGATAGTGTCTATCAAATGAGGATGACACTTGGACAGCTGAGTTGTTGCTCAAGCATCGATAATGAAGGAGAAGAAAAACAACTCATAACTACTGAGTACCATTGCTGCTTGAGCCTGACTGTGGATGCTCAGGAGCCCAGAGGGCCAAATGAAGGACACAATGAGCACAACGGTAAGAATATACAATGCTATGGCTCATTGGCCAGCAACAGAAGACAACTTAGCAGATCGCTGGTGGTGTGAGCTGGTTAACAACTATTGGCCTGCGGTTTCTTTTGACATGTGTTCTATGAATACAAATTAAGGCTGAACACCCAGTACTTTGTCTATATTGAGGTTGGTTTGTTCTTTGGTATTAAGTATTGGTGTTAAGATACAAGGCAAGATTATGCAACTGTGCTGCTGGTTCTCTCATATTCGGCTAACGCAGATTTCTTTGGGCCGTATGGCAATTTGTGTGTGTGTGGGACTGAGAAAGAGGCAGAGAGCTAAGTTCTCCACTAACTGAGAGAGAAAATTGATGAGATGTGACCTTGCACCAAACCGCTTTGGTGGCGGATGATTCATTTAACTCATCTTATTTAAAAGGCAGTGAACTTCTTGTATATATATATATATATATATATATAGTCCTTATTGCCATTTGCAATTAATCAATGTGCAGTATACATATTACTGACAATACATAGTCAAAATGGTAGTTGACCTTAAAAGCTTTTAATTTGAATTTTTTTTTTGCAGTGAGCTGTTTTACATTTATTTAAAAAGCATTACAAAAACAAAAAAAAAGCACCAAGAATTGTTGTTGTTTACACAACTTATACTATATATAATTATCTGTGGTTGTCAAATTCATGCGAACATATGCATGTTAAAAAAGTAATTGGTCACACGTGCCCACTGAAGTGTAAAACTGAAATGTCTCTCCTGATATATCTAACACC